GGACTCCAGGATCATGACCTGAGCCAAAGGCAGTCGCTTAACCGACTGAGCCACCCAGGCGCCCTAATTAAAATTATTTTTATTAGTTATAAGTTCTTACAGTTAGCTTTCTCATTTGCTTGGTGAGAGTATCACATGTTCTGTTTGTTCCAGTGATTACTGCACAGGGTACACCTTTGCCCTTCTTCTGCCTGTATTAATATATTTTATACATGTACTGACTTAGCTCTGCTTTTGAGCTTGTCTTAACAACCCTCTTTCACTTCAGAATGAACCTTTCCCTCGTTCTGCTTATTGAACCCAGCGTTCTGCTTTTCCTCTTATGAACTGCCCCATTTTTATTGCGTGGTCTCTGCCTCACAAAAAAACCCACAAAATCTAAACCTCAAACTGACATTTATCTCACTGATAACCTCATAACCAGAACATTTTTGTCTGGTCTTCTGTTAATAATCCAAATAGTTCAGCAAAAGCTAGCAGTGAAGCTGCTTTCTAACATATGTCTCCTATTTAGGAAGAATTGCAGTCTCTGTGTTTGTGTTTGGCGTGTATATTTTAAACATTCCTTTTTTAAAATGCCAGAGTAGCGTTTATGAGAGTAGGAAATTGAACAGGGTTGTCTTTATGTAACTGTAGGCTGGGTCTTTTAACAAATGTTAGGAATCATGGGGAACCTGTTTCTAAAGATAATGAGTAGATATGTATGTGTTCACGGTTTTGTCATTTAGACCCAGATTTTAACTGAGACTATTCTGCGTGAACAGGGTCAAGTGTTTTAGCCTGGTAAAAGAAAACTAAAAAACACTGGATCAAAACTGTCCAAATGGTTGAAAGAAGTAAATAGATAATAAGCATAGCAGTGACAGAAACCAATTTGCTTTGCTTTGCTTTGCTTTGATTTGTGGTGAAAGCACACTGAACGTGAGTCCTCACCCTTGACCTGTCCTGTAGGTGGCGCTGCAGGAGGTGGCTACTCACAGGTCATTCCCATGGAAGAGGTAAAGTGTCTGCAATTTGATTTGAATCGGACCCTTTATTATATATAGCTTTTCCTTTTTTTTCTATTAATATTCTTTTTTTTAAATTTTATTATGTTAATCACCATACATTACATCATTAGTTTTTGTTGTAGTGTTCCATGATTCATTGTTTGTGTATAACACCCAGTGCTCCATTCAGTACGTGCCCTCTTTAATACCCAGCTCCAGGCTGACGCATCCCCCCACCCCCTTCCCCTCTTCCATAGATTAACCTTTTTCTGTAGACCTCTTAGTGGACAGATGATTGGTTTCTCATCAGAAGTAACACTTAAGGGGAAAACATCTTAATATGCAGACTTGTGAGACAGCTTAGTTTTTTGACATGACAAGGACTCCAAGGTCTGGCTTTCAGTGGGAATAATAACTTTAAGTGAGAGATCCAATGAAGCATGAGAGTGGGAAGAACCAACACAAAGCGAATTCAGGGTGGTAACTACAGAAATGGGAACAGTGTGCAGGCACGTAGGCGTAGGCTTGCTCTCCTCTACTTCTCCTCGGTCACAGTTGAAAGGACATGAGTATGTCCTCAGTAGTCCAAGGTTGCTGTTGATGCTGGTAGTGTGGCGTTTATGGTTACGGGACATGTCCCTTAAGCTCCAATTTCTCCTGAGGAGGGAGAGTCTACAATTTATGTTTTCAAGAGCTATTTGTATTGGGTGTTTGTT